AGTGTGAATTAAAAAGAGACAAGGAAGTCATAGATTGAAACAGAGAGTTATAATTACAGACATTACCTAAAAGAATAGCCATATCGTCACGTCCAGAGAGCTTCTTCAAATAGGTTTGCAATTTTTGAAACTGTTTCTTTTTTGCTTCTTTCTCTCTCTTATAAATCCCGTGCCATGACACAACAAAAACTTTGAATTTATCTGGTCCCTTTGTTTTCAAAAGTAGTATACTACAACGTGCCTTTAAAAGTGTTGGGGGGTAATGTTATAAGCTCAAAACGTCTAGTATTGTACATGATACCGGCTTCCCTGTCGCCTGTGTTTCCAAAGTAGTACTTCTGATCCCTTGCCATCTGAATTCTTGAAAAAATAGAAGGTCAGGCTCGTTAGACATTACGACGTCAACAATTAATTGTCTGGCCTTGAGTGCAGTACCGACCCCGTAACTTGGACCACCTGCATTCATACTAATGACGTGGATTGAAATATCATTTGATGCATGAATATTTGACCCATCATTCGATAGATCGACTGGATGAGCCATGGCATTGAGCCTCTATTTTTAGCAACAACCGCCAAAGGATTGGATCATATGGTGGTCTGAACGTTCCAATGCGTATGGAAATGAAAATAGAGGAAGATGGGGAGAGGGAGAGTGTGAGAGGAAAACAAGGCTGAAGAACCAGTAGTTTGTGTTCTCATAAATATACGGGCTTCGATAAGTTGGACGTATTGTTAGACTTCTCTGATAGGAGGAACTTGATGTTGGAGTTATGGAAGTATGATATTACAAAACATGAGGTCAATGCATGCCTCACGAGATTATAAATTATCCAGTGACATTACACATCAGTTATATTATCGAAGCTTTATCAACTGAATCAGATGATATGTACGTATGTAATCAGTTGTGGTCGTACCGGTACTGATATATCAGCTAAGATTGTTCATATATATATATATATATATATATATTGTTTAAACAACAGACGCGTTCATTCATGTCAATGTGTTCCCTGACACGAAACTATGTATTCAAACATGCTAACAGGGCATTTTTAAAATCAACGTCCTCTCATTTCCTTCTGGAACTCATATTACATTTCTTTTAAATATACACACATGTAAAGATTATATAAGTGTCTTTTTTTCATCGTTATTAAAAACATTAAGTCTCGTTTTAACTATTATCAAAAAATACCCTAGTTTATTGTGTGGTTGAGTCATGTGATTTTGTCAAGCTGACTTTCGTTGAAGCCATACTCTTGACCCGATTTCTGCTGCTAATGACGTCATCGAGGCATACCTGATTCCCTCGTTATCGGTATAAATAATGACCCTGACCTTTGTTCCCAGTGCCATGCATGTAGGTGTTACGTGCCATCAATATTCTGAAATCGTACTGAACTCAGTTGACTCAGGTGTCAATAACGTCTGGATTAGCAGGTTCTATCATGTTCATTTTCACGATGAAACTATTATTTCAAGTAATAGACAATATCTGATTTTTTTTTCTAGTACTTATGTCCTTGTTTTGTTTTAAATGGATATGTTCAACTCCTTTGACAATATAATACAAGCCGTAGGACAGTATTCAAACCACAATACCACTAACCACCACTGAAGTCAATGAAAGATTAAATTTGAACTGACCTTAAGGCAGAGTAAAAGTTTTACTTGTTTAGTTCCTCAATCCAGTAGGTAGGCAGCGTTACTTACTATCATTAGACGACCTGTTCCGGAGTGTCCCTTTCGTGACGTACATTACACATTTCTATTATTATAAGTCATCCGTTCGGAGAACTTCGTATAAACATTTTAAATAATCGCACACACAAGTCTATTTTTTAAATGAGATATATGAAACGAATCTAAGGATTTTTTTTCAAATTTTTGTAAGCCTCTAACTGTTCGTATTTCCTAGATGAGGATATTTTGATTGAAAATCTATGTTCTAGGAAGAAATCTCAATAATTGATTATTGTAAAGCATTATATATATTGCTGTCTCATATAAAATAAATTTCAAATACACAAAATATGTGATTTAAAAGGAATTGTTTGTAACAAAAAAGTATTAAGATATGCTGTAATGTTGGGTAATATCCATGCATCCACTACAGACGTATGTTTGTATATGTATATACAGTCCACTGAAATGATATCACTAGTGGGTTAAAAATGACATTGTTGTTCTATAAAGGTCCAATCATGTAAATACGATTATAACATGCTATAAATAAGCCCTGATGTATAACATCAATAATTAATAGTGACAGATCATATTAACATAAAAGTCGTATGTGCCTTTATAGAATCTTTTTTTATTTTACTTCTATTTTTCAACACCTTGTGGAACCAAACTCAATCACATATATTGATTGCATATTTATTTTACAAATACTTTAAACGTAAGAGTTTAATAAAAAAAAAAATGAATTTAAAAATAAGCACTATGTTACCAAATATGGCAATACTTGTTTGATGACAGATATTCATGTTTTTGAGGAAATGGCTAAGAAGGTATTGAGTATATACCCATAGACAAGGGAACCTAGATGTTAATTAATGACGTGTTTGATCATAAATGGATACGCTGATCATGCCGTGTTTATAATGATGTTTTGCATTGGTTTTTGTTTTTGCTGTTTTGTCAATAACTATCAGACCCCGGATGCTCAAAGGTTAGAAACCAGGGTTTTCAAAGCGAAATAAATCCTCAAAACACATCGATATGATCTGTCTTAACAAATTTATAGCAGTGAAATGATGGCAGATGTTCTTGATTTGTTGTATTGAAATTCCAATCTGTTCCTTAACCAACGATTAACTCTAATGAACTTGGAGCAACCGGGGCAAGGAGGTCTATAGGGGGAACTTAGGTAAGAACTACAACACGTAAATCAAATCTATTACGCGTATCACTATTTGGCAAAAAGATACGTTGTTCATTGCTTCAGTAACTATTACAAATAAATGCTTTTTTCAACATGTAAACTACATGAATACAAAATGTATTTGATAAGTTGATAGGTTCAGCTTACACTACCCCGAAATACAAGAACTTATTATTGTTTGATATTTGACAGACGAAATATTGATAGCCGTTTCGTTTCTTTTATAAAAGAAAATAGATTACGTTCAAATGTGTTGGTGTAGATTTAGTGAAAAAATGCTAGACTAGTTATACAACAACGAACAATTACTGTATAAGCCTACAAGTATAACATCTTCGCTGAATTCCATATGTTCCCCATTCATAAAATTATTCCATACAAAAACTGTTATCTTTCGTGACACTTATTTCTACTGTGAAAATCCGATGTAGATGCCAACAGTTGCTTGATAGATGTAGCTTTTTAACTTGAAGTGTAAACTGGTACTAATACAAGTATGCCTAAAAATAAGCGTTGAAGCAAATTTCAAGATGATACCTTTCATAAGCGTAACCAAATTGTTAAGTTTACGCTTTAGAGGTAACATAATCTGAATTAAACTTTTATCGACACAATCATTACTATTTTTTAAGTGATCTCTGATATCAAGTATTGCGTCATCCCCGATTCAAACAGAACCAGGAAATGTAAACTAAAACACGGTCGTTCTTATCAGACTCCATAGATAATCAAGTGCTGTCGTGTATCAGACCAGGTATCGCTCTTACTCCCCACTGTCACATTTCCAACCAAAACACGAACTATGTCATTACGCCTACGGCTGATTATAACAACTTGGGCCCTAGTAAGTGGCTGTTATGGCCAAAGTGACGTCATTAATAGACGTTGCTGTGTGCCGTCTCACTTCCGGTGTACGATGGACGTGACAGGAGGATACACAGATCCTGTTTCAGGAACAACCTCATATGTAGATGTAAGTAAATTGTTAATATTGTGTTCTATTCAAAATAAATCATGTTCGTATGTCATAATATATGACTTTTTTCAATTCTTTTAAAAATGACGCATAAAAGAAAGAATAAAAATTTGATACGTTTTGTATTCATACGAAATATGGATTTTAACACTATTTCATTGATCAATATAAAACTCTCTGCAAAAATATAAGAATTTATTTTGTTTTTGAGACTGACATGGATAAATATAATGATAAACCATAATTTGCAATTCCTCTGATTTCAATTACACTATTGTTTAAGCGCAAAGTCCTGATCAACCATGATTTGCAATTCCTCTGATTTGAAATACAATATTGTTTAAGCGCAAAGTCCGTCTTTACAACGATTACGATTTGAACGCCACCAGAACCGACACTGACGTCACCCTACCAAGTGGTGTGACTTTTGTTCACTCGGAGCTGACATTTTATGACAAGGTAATTTATAATGCGGGTTTCATCTATGAAGCAGAAGAGACATATCCTTCCGGAAATCCTGGTCTTATTCTCTTAGTATATTTAAGGGTATCCTTACAAACCTCTTGTTGGTGTTTTATCTAGTTTTATACATTCTGAGTTCGAATTACATTTTTGTTGACACTTCGATATTCTATCCTTTTTTTATCAGTAACATATAGATACCCCAATGAGTGATGGAAGGTTGTTATGTTTATCTAACTCGACCTAGTTAAGTTTTAAAATGTGTGAAGACACAAGGTTTACCGAGTGTCTTTTACAATATTTTGAAAATTAATCAACAAAAGAGTTCTCCCACAATGAAGTTAAATCTAGAACACCATATGCTTTTTATTTGAATATATTATTCCTGTTCCAGATCGGAGAAAACGATTGCCATGAACTCTGACGTCATAATCAAAGATGACATCACAAAGCATTCTCATTTGACGTCATTATTAGAAGATTGACAAATGAAATCAGGTTCAGGGTGCTACCCACTAGTGGGTAACAATGTTTTACCAACTCCTAGCAGGTTTATCCAATAAGTCAGGAGTGAGGTAACCTATAGTTGTTGTGGGAGAAAAACAGTTCTTACAGGAGGGGCTATATTTAGTTAGTTTCAAAAATATATGTAATATAGTCATACATCATAAAGGCTAATTTGAAAAAAAAGGCCTAAGTGCTACACTATATCGTCAAAACAGATTATTTAAAAATTGTTTTACAAACTCATTTCAGCATATCTCCTACAAAATAGACGGTGGCAAATGCCGGACTGATCATATCACCGACGCCATGCAGGACAAGTGTATTCCAGGTATAAAAGTATCCTTGCATTTCTTTTACAGAACGACATACGATAGGATTACACAGTTCAATTTCGGAGATATTCGCATAACCTCATCATTTCAATAGGAGATGATATATGTGGTTTTGTTTGCAGAATGGTTTATCACATATCAATTGTATAGGTCAGGGATAAAAACATAGGACAGTAACGTCACAAATGGCCTTATCACAAATAAATACTAACAGATCGGTGACATTATAAAATCGCTTCTTACAGATAAAAACTTCCAGGTTTGTGAAGTCACATCGCATATCATCATGTCTGTGTTATATTGAAATTCTTGTTTAAATGAAAACAGGTTTATCTTCAGCATATTATTTTCATATGTGGATTAATTTCCATGACTTAATAATCGATTAGGTTAAAGTAATATGCAAAGTATTGTTGATCGTAGGACTCATAGCTCTAACATAGAAACGCTGAATTTGAATATTATTATGTACATTTAATTGAGAACATTGACATTGAAATTATTTCCTGGCACATTGATGTATCAAAATGTTTTAACGCTATCTGATGCTACTTTAAAGGGATCCGCGCTATCTCACTGAAATACCATGCCGAAGGCACCCAGCA